TATCTAACATCCTAAATTAATAATAAATTTTGTAAGTTCTCTCATCTGCATTTCCATCTGTCTAACTCTCATCATAAACATTCCTCATTTCCTCTTTAAAATTACTTATCGACCATAATATCCACACAGGCCTATTCATTCCTCGATAATCTCCATTCTTATATACAGAAAAGGACAGGTTACTTACCTGTAAACATGGTTCTTCAAGTGGATTCTCCATGAATACACACGTCCCGCCCGGCCTCCCCACATGTTCGTCACTGGTGGATGTGAGACGTTGCAACTTTCACATGGCGGACATGTGGAACTGAGCCGTTGGCGGGCTGAGCATGCTCAGTGCAGGGCAACCTGAACATTGTTACTTTTCTATTGCAGCTCTAGAAGATTCCGAGAGGCCAGCACAAGTGCTGACTTAACCCATTAGTGTGTATTCATGGAGAATCCACTTGAAGAACCATGTTTACAGGTAAGTAACCTGTCCTTTTCTGTATATAAGAATGGAGATTATCGAGGAATGAATAGGCCTGTGTGGATATTATGGTCGATAAGTAATTTTAAAGAGGAAATGAGGAATGTTTATGATGAGAGTTAGGCAGATGGAAATGCAGATGAGAGAACTTCCAAAATTTATTATTAATTTAGGATGTTAGATACTTAATTAGGTATACAAATAGGGATGTGGAATATAACATGTGCAGATGCACACGGATATATTGTTTCTGTAGTCAGAACTTATATAATAGATAAGCTGGTATGGGAAATACCTCCCTGCCTGTATGTTTTGTTAGTCTTGTATGTTTTGTTAGTTTTATGTGTTATTGTCTTGTTGGTATTTCTGTTCTTTCTTGTAGGTATGTATGTTATAAAAAATAATAAAATGTTTTTAAAAAGTATAACTTAAAGAAACCATGTCTTTCAGATGTCAGTTCAAACAGGAAAGTTTTATAGGCATCCCTAAATATCATGCATGTGACAGTACTCAAGAAACAGGCATAGTTTCTTTTGTTGTATTCAACAGCATATAGTCTGATGAGATGAAAAATTATACAGAAAGCATGTAAATATTTCAGATATAAATGTGGTGTGTGTTCCTGTGGCCTGATCTCTACCCATGTTAATCATGCAGTATGTATGGAGTTAACTTTTGCTTGTGCCTTCCTGGTTTCTGTCAAAGCCTTTGTTTCTTTTTGCTGAGAGTACCGTATGTCTAATACCTACTAATACAATACATCTGTGTGGACATCAGTAGCAGCCCCTCTTTATTCATTGCTCCACTGTTTGAATTTCTTGTACCCTGTTTCCCTAAAAATAAGCCCGAGTATGATTTTTCAGGATGCTCGTAATACAAGCCCTACCCCCCCCAAATAAGCCCTAGTTACTGCCCTCCACCATTGTGCAGCAACCAGAAGATGACATGACTGCATTCGACTAAATGTAGATTGTTGTACATGAAAAAAATAAAACATCACCTGAAAATAAGCCCTAATGTGTTTTTGGAGCAAAAATTAATATAAGACCCTGTCTTATTTTCGGGGAAACATGGTACAGTGGTTCAGACGTCACGTACCAAAAGATTTAGGTGAAATCAGAGACTTTGGTCATCAAATTACTACCATTTCTGATTTCTCCATAACACGTTCTGGCACAACAAGCTATATTGTCTATAGAAACAGCATCCTTCTGGCCTGAGATGCTCCGTGGCACAACAAGCTATATTGTCTATAGAAGCAGCATCCTTCTGGCCTGAGATGCTCAGCAGCAGCATATCCACAGCTATTTGCTGCTGCTCTTGCTGCCACCTCCATTAGAGATTATGATGATAATGATCAAATTGTTTTGCCTCTCTGGCTATTTACAGGTACCTATTCAGAAAATGGCTATGTTATTAGAGAATGTATACATAGTTAAAGGGTAAAATATTGTGTCTGTGTCTGTGTGTGTGTTTCTTTAACATCAGTGAGGTACAGTCAGAGTTTCAGGATTGAATGGGACATATACCACTAAAAGATATACATGGCTTAATATGCTGGGCAAGATATAAAAACTTCTTATTTGAATATGTAGTTAATATGGGGATGTACTTAGACAGGGACTGGGATATTTGGAATGTTCCTAGAGTTTTAAAGTTTACAGATTGGACTAGCCGATATCCAGATGCCTTTCCTACTCAGAAAGTAGTTCTTTCTTCAGGCATCAGGTACTATGCTAATCCTTCCATGTCTTATAATAAGTAGACTATGGAGTGTCTGAAAGACAATAATACTGGGAAACACTGAATGCAAAGCCGATATCCAGATGCCTTTCCTACTCAGAAAGTAGTTCTTTCTTCAGGCATCAGGTACTATGCTAATCCTTCCATGTCTTATAATAAGTAGACTATGGAGTGTCTGAAAGACAATAATACTGGGAATCACTGAAGGCAACAGGAAAAGACCAAATACAAGATGGATTGACTCTCTAAAGGAAGCCATAGGCTTGGGTTTGCAGGAGGAGCTGAACAGGGTTGTTGAGGACGGGGCATTTTGGAGGTCACTCATTCACAGGGTCACCATAAGTCGGAGGCAACTTGACAGTACATAACAACATGGAGCATCTGTGTTATATTTGTTGTCATTCACTCTTCAGGTAATTCTAGCACTTCAATCTTATTTTGTGTTTACTCTCTCTCTCTCCATATATTAATAGTCATTAGATGAAGAGAGTTCTAGCACTTCAATCTTATTTTGTGTTTACTCTCTCTCTCTCTCTCTCCATATATTAACAGTCATTCTGACAGATGAAGAGGTTCAAAGGAAAAGAGAGATGATAATGAAGAGAAAGGAGGAGGAAGCTCTTAAGGAGAGCCTAAAGCCCAAATTATTGGAAGAACAACAGCAAGTCATTGACATCCTCCTTGAAGCCCACCGCAAAACCTTTGATCCCACTTACTCTGATTTCAGCCAGTTTCGGGTAAGCTATAGAGTTTTGCTTTTTCTTTCTAAACTCATGTTAACTGTGACTAGCAGGACCTCTACTGGTAGATAAAATAAATTGAAGCAACAGTTGTGTTAACGGCTTTGTTTTATTTTGGTGTCAAAACATCAGCCTTTCTGGGAAAACTGTAACTCATTTCTCACTTGGGGAAGGTTTGCACCTTGCAGATTGAGACCATGAGATTTGCAGTGTATTTCCTGTAAAGGGAGCAACCAATATTTCCTTGGATAATATATGTATTCTGAATAGAAATTCCTTATCTTTGGAATTGGCTTTGGAATGGAAATTTGGCTGTAAAAGGCATTTTAAACTGCTGTGTTTTACAGATTGGTAAGAAAAACTCTTCACGTCTAACCAAAGTCCCTATTTGCATTAGATCAATATGAGTTGATAACAGTTTGTGGTAAAAATACATAGGTAAAGGTAAAGGTTCCCCTTGACAATTTTTGTCCAGTCGTGTTCGACTCTAGGGCGCAGTGCTCATCCCCGTTTCAAAGCCATAGAGCCAGCGTTTGTCCGAAGACAATCTTCCGTGGTCACATGGCCAGTGCGACTTAGACACAGAACGCTGTAACCTTCCCACCAAGGTCGTCCCTGTTAATCTACTCGCATTTGCATGTTTTCGAACCGCTAGGTTGGCGGGAGCTGGTGTATTTCCTGTAAAGGGAGCAACCAATATTTCCTCGGATCATATATGTATTATGAGTAGAAATTCCTTATCTTTGGAATTGGCTTTGGAATGGGAATTTGACTGTAAAAGGCATTTTAAACTGCTGTGTTTTACAGATTGCTAATAAAAACTCTTCACGTCTAACCAAAGTCCCTATTTGCATTAGATCAATATGAGTTGATAACAGTTTGTCGTAAAAATACATATGATCGAGCAAAATTCCAAAAGCACACTTTTCTGACTGCTTGGTCTTCTGACCCTGCAGCACAGGCTTCTGCAGTTTAGCCCGCAGCGCCACCACGTCCCTTCGCGCCACCACGTTCCTTCAAAAATACATATGATTGAGCAAAATTCCAAAAGCACGTTTTCCCAGTTTTAAAATCTTACAGCTTCTGAACTGATTATTTATTTTTGGAAGTCTGACTCTAAACTCAAAAGTTCTACTGGACAATGATTGACAGTGGAACATGAGTTCATTGCTTAGGAAGGTACTTTGTCAGAGAGATTCACTCTGCCACCAACTGCACTCTGCCCCCTTGTTAGGATTACTGTTAAACAAAGGCTTTAAGCAGCTTATACTGTATTAGTGACTGCATTTCTTTTAATGTTTATTGATCTGTGGTTTGATGTAAGAAAGCAAGAAAACAGTCTAATATCTAATATATGGGAGAGAAAATCTTTCCCAAGAAATAGTCCCCCCTCAAAAAAAAAAAGAGGTAACAAGGAAAAGTAACAGCTGACTGTGTCTCATTCTGTGGGAAAAAGTAAAACCTTTACAAGTTGTTGCATTATTTGCAGAGGGAGCACTGATGTGTGATTACTGCCCCTAAAAGTAACACATTATCGGTATGTGTTAGGTTACCCACAAGTTCTATGCTAGGCCTTTAGAGAGTGCTACTGGTCCATTCTGCAGAACGCTTCCTCCTCAGCTGCACTGGGGTCCTTGAATCACTTGTTTCACCAGATTCTGTGTAAGGAGCTGTAGTAGGCAAGAGAAAGTACTTGTGGCCAAACCAACCACAAGCATTTCCTGTCACACAACAAGTTGTAGAACTATTGCTCAGCTTTGGAGGTTGAGTGACGCAGAAAGGAGCTAGGGAGAAAGATTGGGAGATAGAGAAGTGGAGGAAAGAGAACTAGTTATGTCTGACTCATGGTTTTGAAAACTTTGGGTCAAAAACACTGGTTGTTTTCAGTAGTGTTTCCCAACAGGCTTTCTCTCCAGCCCCCTCTTTCTCATTGACAGTCCATGTTATGAAAATCAGTATTTCCACTGTGTGGGCAACCATCTCCAAAGTGCTGTGCAGACCCTCACCTTAAAAATGTAAATGTATGATAATTGCATGAGTATTTCTTACCCTCATGGACTGCCATTTGCAGTTATCTTTGAAATGTTAAATGTAAATTATGTGAATCACTCCAGTAGCAGTTGCCTTGGCCCTTTGACTCATAATAATAGTTGTGTCTTTTTCTACATCAAGTTTTCCTACAATATTGTAGAAATTAATCTTGTTGGGGAGAATGCATGGCAGGTCAAATATACCTTTTAGTTGGAAGCTCTGACAGTTTTAGGAGATGAATGAGTAGGGTTGAAAAACTGAGAAAAAAATAATAGAACAGAAGTACAAATGGAGATGTGCAAAACTATTCTGTATTAAGTTGGCTTAATTTCCATAGAGGTACCATATTTATTTATTTATTTATTTATTTATTTATTTATTTATTTATTTATTTATTTATTTATTTATTTATTTATTTATTTATTTATTTATTT